ACAAAGTCTCACTCTGTTGCCCAGGCTGGAGTTTCCATTGGTCACTCATAGTAATTGCAAATTCTTAGGTTCAAATGATCCTCCTACATCAGCCTTCCAAGTAGCTGGGAATATAGGTGCCCACCATAATGCCCAGGTCATTTTTCTTTCTTTCTTTCTTTTTTTTTTTTTTGATTTTTGGCCGGGGCCGGGTTTGAACCCACCACCTCCGGCATATGGGGCCGGTGCCCTACTCTTTGAGCCACAGGTGCCGCCCCCAAATTTTATAAAATAGTTAAAGAACTTGCATTTGTAACAAGCAGCCAGGTAATGCTGATCTGCAGATCACACCTGAGAACAACTGATGTAAAACAACTGGGCCTTATTTGTTCCCTGTTCCGTCCTCTCCCTTATCTCCTACTCAAAGCACAGGTTGGATAAGTAGAGGTTACAATTCATTACCTGAATGTGTTTTGTTCACTTTTTCTGCACTGACTTTATTGCCTTTGCCTTTGGACAAGCTGTACTCGACCATGTCCCCCAGTTCCAGGCTATCAACATCACCAGAGAACTCACTAAAGGGAAAGGAAATGACATTTAAATAAACATCACTACATGTTATGATAGGTTACTATGAAAGGTTACTATCATATAAGTAACCTTGCCATAATTTCCCCAATATGAGATCTGTGATGCAAAAATATAACCAATCAACATTCAACATTTTTGACTGTAACAGAAAAGAATGGATAGTAAGCTAGCTGTAAATTTTTTTTTTAGAGACAGTCTTTACTTTATCACCCTTGGTAGAGTACTATGGCATCACAGCTCACAGCAACCTCCAACTCCTGGGCTTGGGCTCTTGCCTCAGCCTCCCAAGTAGCTGGGAATACAGGCGCCTGCCACAACACCCAGCTATTTTTGTGTTGCAGTTTGGCCAGGGCTGGGTTCAAACCTGCACCCTCAATATATGGGGCTGGAGCCCTACCCACTGAGCCCCAGGCGCTGCCCATGTTCTAAAAGGATCCTTACCTGTAATGGAAAAAGATTTCCTTATCATGATTGGCTGTTTCAATAAATCCAAAATTATCCTTCAGAGTTGCCACATAACCCAAGAGCCTCTTGGAGTTGGAATTACGACCTAAAAGTCGTACGCAAGTTGCAATTTGCTGTCCAGGCCTCTGTTTGTCACTAATACTAAATTCAACCTGTGAAAAATAAGGATGCTTATTAATAACAACATATCACTTCCACACCAAGCTCCTAACTGTGAAAAGGGGACCTACTACTCCCCCAGACCATGCTTTTAACTCCGAATATCTAGTGATTATTTCAAAGAAATACATTTTCACCAAAACTAACACTTCTGTCTCATTTCATTTTTCATAAAGGATCAAGTTTTGTCATTCAGTGCCTATTCCTTATAGATTCATTTCTCTGAAGGCTACCTGAAAAGCAAGACATTTTAAGGACCATGAAAAAAAACCAGCAATGTAAAATCTGTTGCACCTTTGATGTTTCAGTAATTGTTTTAACTTTCTTATTGATATTTTTAATTTTATTGAAGCATCTAATGCTTAAATATTGGTCCTTCAAAGAGCTTGCTAGATACTATTTTAATTTAACAAGCTGCTTAAGATGGGCTCGGCACCTGTGGCTCAAGCGGCTAAGGCGCCAGCCACATATACCTCAGCTGGCAGATTCGCATCCAGCTACCAAACAGTGACAGCTGCAACCAAAAAATAGCTGGGCACTGTGGCGGGCACCTGTAATCCCAGCTACTTGGGAGGCTGAGGCAAGAGAATCGCTTGAGCCCAGAAGTTGGAGGTTGCTATGAGCAGTGATGCCACAGCACTCTACCCAGGGCGACAACTTGAGGCTTTGTCTCAAAAAATAAATAAGTAAAAATAAATAAATGGTTAACATGTTCATTATTTATGCTTTAGCAGAACTTGATAAAATTTAAAGAACCCATCCTACAGAACTGATGATTAAGATGACAACTTTTAACCCCTTCTCAAATAAACAAATTATCTTGCCTTATCTCCTATCTGAGGAGAAGTAGATCCTTCCACATCCTTGGCTTGAAAAGTGATAGTCAGTTTCACCCCACAATCATCATAAGCAATAATGCCATCCTCAGCCTCCTGAAAAGGGAGAGAAAGTTAGAATACAAAGAAAACAATTTTAAGAACAGAAAAAAAAAAAAAAAGAAAGAAAAAGAAAAAGAATTTAAGCAACTATAGTTCTTCTAGATCCTAAAAGTAAAGACTTGGTTTAGTCTACGAAATGTCTTATTCCAGGGCTCTTTAACAATAACAAATTATTTATATGAATAAAGGTGGTCTTGCCTTAACCCAAGTACCTATTTTATGTTCCTCATAGCATATCAGAAATCAAACTGGGCATGATCTTTCCAACAGGGTGAAAATTCTATAGGGCAAGAAGCTTTAGCATCCTCTGAAGAAGGAATAAAGTATCCTTCTTTGTACTTTTTTATCCCAGAGGACACTGAACGGTATTTTGTACATACTCTCAATCAACATACTCACCAAATTCTTAAGAACTTAATTTGATATAGGATCTAGTGTAATTCTGAGCACTTGATACAACATAGGTGATTAAGTTATGACATACCAGTATTTCCATAATAACACTTAAATCGTCTCAGAGCTCTTTAAAAGTCTAGATCTAGACCAATTCATTTTTCCACTTCTAACATTCCTAACTCCTTTTATAATTGCTATGTAACACTTTCATCTCCATAGTTACTCTTACCTCTTCATTTTACAAATCAGAAAAGTCTTAGGACATTAAATAAACTTGGCCAATGATCCAGAGAATGTGAGTTTGGTTAAGTGAAGAGTAATGATGTCAGCAGCTAATTCAGGTCTGACTTCAATGGCATCAACACTTTTGTAAGTCAAGCAAACTCAAAATCCTAGAATTCAACTTTTGCTCTAAACCCTCTTTTAGCCATCAAGTTCAATACCCAGTTAACTGACAATATACCACACATCTTATACTTTAAATAGAGGTTAAAACAATTCCTGCTCCCCAGAAGCCAGTCAGATATATAAACAGGTAAGTGTAATACACTGTGATAAGCACAATGGCAGAACTTTATTAAGACACATTGTTGATCTAAGAAAAAGAAAATATAAGGACAGGAAAAGTCTCACACAAGGGCTATCTTGATCAAGCCAAAAAATAAGGCATTCTGAGTTAAAAGCAATTATAGGCCAGGCATGGTGGCTCATGCATATAATCCTACCACTCTGGGAGGCCAAGGCTGGTGGATTGCCTGAGCTCAGGAGTTCAAGAGCAGTGTGAGCAAGAGCAAGACTCTGTCTCTACTGAAAATAGAAAAACTAGCCAGGCATTGTGGGGGGTGCTTATTGTCCCAGCTAAGGTAAGAGGATCATTTGGGCCCAGGAATTTGAGGTTGCTATGAGCCATGATAATGCCATAGCACTCTACCCAGGGTGGCAGAGGGAGACCTTGTATCCCGCCCCCCAACCTCCAAAGCCATTACAAACAAGCCTTGCTGAAATTTATTTTTATTGCTGTTAATAGTACCATCTATCACGTGTGAAAGTCCTTCTATGAATTACACATTGTGAGGGCATTTTAAACTAAATAGGAGACAATCATTTTTCAAGTTTAAGCTCAGAGATGAAGTAATTTCCCAAATTATAAATAAGCAGTAAGACGCAATCTCTGCTCTTTCTGGCTCACAAATAGTTATTTTAAAATTACATGACTTTTTAGTATCTGTCTTATGTACCTTCACTTATCTATATCCATTATCTATGTCTCTAGTTCAAGGGCTACCTTAATTTTTAGATATGGAACGCTTCACGAGTTTGTGTGTCATCCTTACACAGGGGCCATGCTAATCTCCATATTGTTTCAATTTTAGTATATGTGCTGCTGAAGCGAGCACTAGACTGACTGCCTTAACTTTTAAGTAATTTCCTATGGATCTTTTTCATCTTTTGAGTTTCTTCACCCCATTCAGGCTTCATACTAACACCATTACCCTTTCTGAAGCACACAGCTGATGTCTTCCAACAGAAATCTTTTTATTGTGTATAGAACAAGGTCTAAATTCTTTAAGAGTAGCAATAAACACCCTCTCAGTCTAGCTGTATCCTAATTTTTCCCCTATCCCCCCCCTCACCAAAACCCAAACAAAACCCCCCACACCTCCTATCAAAGTAGTTACTGCTTTTAAAGCCTGAATTTTTCTTAGTTTCCCACCTCCACCTACTAAGTGCCAATACCTTAGTGAAACCATCGCGAAGATACTGCCGGTTAAGATTTTCACTGGAGCATTCACACTGACCTCCAACGGCATTTTGTACCCCTTGTGAATTACTTCTCTATAAGTCTCTCAATCTGTCAGTTTACTATGCACACAAGCCACCTCAGACATCATTTTACTTCCTATTCTGCGCATTTTTCAATAAATGAATTCTAAGACCATAAATTAAGTCTACCCAACTCGAGGTTTTAAACTGCTTGGAAGACAAGTACTGTCATTTTAATTAAGTGGTTCTCAACTGGGGGAAGTTTGCCTTCCAGGGGACGTCTGGCAATATCTGGAGACACTTTGAGCTGTTGCACTGGAAAGTGAAGACACTGGTGTCTAGTAGATAGAGGCCAAGGATGGCAGCTACTAAATATCTCAGCCATAGGAAAGAATTATTCATGCCAAAATGTCAAGTAAAGTTAAGAAATCTCACTATGATTAGTTTATTATTAACATCATAGAGAATTCCAAAAGAGACAAACTCATTAGGCAGGCTACGTTATTATGAGCCTTTAAGCAAATGAGGAATAAAAAGCTACAAAATTCATTTTAATCATGTAAAACTTACCTTCTCTTTGCTTTTATTTGGGCTAGTGGTTTTAGGATTGGAGAAAGTGGCTTCTTTTTCTACAGTGCCCAGAAAACGATGATCTGAATGGGAATGGAATGAAACCGTGCCCTTGGGAAGTTTTTTAATCCTAATAGCATGATTTCTTTGGGCAGAGAGCATATCCTACAAATTATAAAAACAAAATTAACTTAGAACTGAGAAAGGAAGCATCAGGAAACACTCTACCTGAATATTTCTCTCAAAAATACTCACAGGAACCACAGTAAACTCCACTTCATCTGCAATATGGAGCTGGTTCCCATCTAGAATTTCACTGAAGTGGAAGAACATACGAGCATCACGATCCACACACTTGATGAAACCAAAACCATCTCTCATGGCGGCAATCACACCCTGAAACCCAAACAACATTTTCACTGGCTATGAAGGCTGTCAAGTCATTATTCAAGTTTGGAAGCACCATCAAGTTAAATTAATCAGCAATTCTGTCTATTAAGGACCCCAATACTATATATCCATGTACGGTTGTGCTTTCTTCCATTTAAACACAAACTCATTGATTTCAATGAATTTAACCTTAGCAATTTTCTGAGACTCCTCAGTTGCTACTCCCTGGCAAATATGCATTAGAAAAGGTTACCATACTTGAATGTAAATACATCACACAATGTATTTAATGGAATCCCAAGCCTAATAACATTACTTCTAGAAATTTCAATGCTTTTACAGACTCAACATTTCAAAACAGACAACAAATGCAACTCTCTAGTTTCTACCTGAAAAATATTTATGAATTGAGGCAAAGGAAGGACTTAAGATTTAGGTCTGAGGCAGGGCGTGGTGGCTCACGCCTGTAATCCCAGCACTCTGGGAGGCCGAGGTGGGTGGATCACCTGAGCTCTTGAGTTGAGACCAGCCTGAACTAGATACTCGTCTCTAAAAATAGCCAGGCATTGTGACAGGTGCATAGGTGCTACTTGGGAGGCTGAGGCAAGAGGATCACTTGAACCCATGAGTTTGAGGTTGCTTGATGCCATGGCACGATACTGAGGGCTACAAAGTCAGACTGTCTCAAAAAATAAAATAAAATAAAAATTAAATTAAAATAAAACTGCACATTCAGAACTCCAAACTTTTACAGTTAAAAGTATATTGTAAATGTTGGGTGGCACCTGTGGCTCAAAGGAGTAGGGCGCCAGCCCCATATGCTAGAGGTGGTAGGTTCAAACCCAGCCCTGGCCAAAAACTGCCAAAAACAAAACAAAACAAAACAAAAGTATATAAACATCAAATATGATCAGTTCTTAAAAGGCAAAGGTTAAAAAAATAACGAAAATTGCATTAAATGTAGCCAGTTCCTCTGACAACAATAAATTATAATGTACAAGATATGATCTCAGAATTAAATGTAGATTATGTCTGAGAAAGTTAGTTCATGAAAACTGAGTTTATAAAACATGTTTGGGAAATAATTCCAGTAAGTGTCACTCCCGGACTATAGCTATTAATACCTTAGTAGTCCTCCTGGCCAGATTTCCATTCTAAAACTTTGTCATTTACATTTCCAAGATAATTGGCAGAGGTAGACGTCTAACCCTGACTTACTTAAATGCCTATGGCTCTTAACCATCTTAAAGTAACCGCCCAGTATGGTCACTAAATTACAAAAATTTTCAATTTAGTAGCACAAACTTTACTACTATCCACCCTTTAGCTACACATCCAATAACAACACTTACCATTTCTCTGGCTTCATTAGTGAACTGAAATGTATTTGATAGAACTTCTATATTGGTTGCTCGTTCTAATTTGTCACGTCGGTCTGTTGAAATATTAAACCTAACATGGTCACCTTCCAGCAGGGTCACCTTGGATTTTGTATCTTTGTCTCCAAAGGGAAGTTCTTTAGGAATCACAAAGTCAACTTTGATGCGTCCTGGCAATGGGTCATTCTGATGAGAAGGAAAAACGATTTTAGCTGGAGATTTCTCATCCTTCCTAGTTCTAAGTCAAACAAGAAGAACACATAGCAAACCCATGTTATTTATAACACATAGTTCCCTGAAGGGAAAAAAGGTGTTGACAATATCAGTCCAATGTGAGAGCTTCACATTCTAGGGTCACACTATACAACCATAAAATCACAGTATTACAGTTAAGACTATGCATTCTGATTTAAGAGATTTAAGGAACTTCCTTAGCAATTAGACTACTCATGTCCTCATCTCCTCCACAAAAGAAACAATCTGGGGGCTAAGGCGAGGAGAAATCAGAGGAGGAATGAATGTATACTCAAACTGCAGTCTAAGCCAATCAGCATTTTTCCAATTTAACCACCAGTTTTTTTCCTGGCTTTTCCTCCTTATCACCCAGTGTTAAAAAAAAAAAAAAAAAAAAAAAAATATATATATATATATATATATACACACATGTATTTTTTCATGGATCAGTGTTTTCTGATTTAGCTTATACTAAACAGAATACATGTCAAGAGATACTTAACTGTACCACTATCACATGATCAAGTAAAGTAAAATTTCAACATATCACACCATATTACTCTATTACTGATGAGGCAAAAGGGGACTCTGCTGAAAATCCTTATTTACCTGGTTTTTACTGGGTACTTTTGGGATAACTTTGGTTACAGTTCCTTCAAAATGTTCAATGCTGATATCTTCAAAAATGACTGTTCCTTGAGGCAATAGTCTGACATCTGTTGCAACTTCTTTACCCTAAATCAGAAGGGGTTGGAGCAAGGAAAATCACATAATTTAAAGTATTTCCCCCAAAATGTAAACTATTACTGATTGCAAAAGGCTTCTAAGATCAAGTTAGTCAACTCTTACATTTCTGTCCTTGATTGTGAATTCCACGTCATCTCCAGGCTGTAAGGTTTCTAGGTCACCCTTAAATTCACTATAGTGAAAGAATATCTCTTTTACAACATCACCTCTTTCAATAAAGCCAAACGCCTCCTAAAGCAAAACAAAAACACCCACAAAAAAACCAAGTACATTACCATCCAATGTACAAATTTATGATTCCAATATACAATTATTCTACAGTCAAAATAATATAATTTAGTAAAGTCTAACATTACCAGTAGTCCATTTTAAAGAACACAAAGCATCAGTAACCAAGGAATTTTCAGATTATTTCTGAAGTTAACAGTGAAATATTTTTAAAGGGTAAGACAAAGTAAAAACAAAAAGCTTGAGTTTCAAGTAAAAGACTTAAAAGTAGTCAGAAAAAAACCTCAAGTTTCTCAAATGTGTTGACTCTTACCTTCATGGCACAAACTACTCCCTGACAGCGGGCTTGTTTCTTTTTCAACAGCATAATGTTACGAGCACTTACAGCACCAGTACTAGAAAGGAATAATCGGGGAGAAGAATCAAAGAAGGGCAAACATGCTTTGGTTAGTTAGGTAGAAGTCTACAGAAACTAGTTTTATGGGGCTTTGAGAATTCTGTCATCACTAAGAACCAATGTAAGGTTATGACATCTCATCCTTTTCATCTGGTTTCATATGCACAGGACTGTTGTTCATACTTCCTACCCTTCTAAATCTGGCACAAAGACACAGATCATTTTTCTCTGGGACTGTTGTTAAAAGATTTCTTTTTAGAAACTTACACTTGGGTATCTGATGTTCTACTCTGCTTTTCTAGTCCACTGAGATAAAGCTACAAGGCGAATGCCACCAAAGGTAAAGAACAATAAAGTTTTAGAAAGGTTGGGTGGCGCCTGTGGCTCACTGAGTAGGCACTGGCCCCATATACCGACAGCGGTGGGTTCAAACCCAGCCCCAGCCAAATTGCAAGAACAACAACAAAAAAATAGCCGGGCGTTGTAGTGGACACCTGTAGTCCCAGCTACTCAGGAGGCTGAGGCTAGAGAATCACCTAAGCCCAGGAGGAGTTGGAGGTTACTGTGAGCTGTGACACCATAGCACTCTACTGAGGGTGACAAAGTCAGACTGTCTCTTAAAAGGAAAAAAAAAGTTTTGGAAAGGTTATTTTTTTTTTTTTTTTTTTT